GACTTCTGTACATACATAGTCGTATACATAGATGACCTTCTAGTATTTGCCAAAGATGAAATCTTATTAAATAAGATAGTCACGAGAATAGGCCAACGATATGAAGTATGAGACCTAGGGCGCACTTCTTTCTTTTTGGGGATTGGAATACACCATGAAGAAGATACACTTCTGCTGAACCAAAAAGCATACATACAGTCCTTGATGAAGGCATACGGAATGTCAGATTGCCGACCGACTCATACCCCACTTGAGTCGGGAATTAAATTGAGTAAAGAAGATTGTCCTGCTAGTGAAGAGGAAAAGAATGAGATGTCAAATATACCTTCTCGCGAGTTGATTGGTTCACTTATGTACGTCGCACGGAATACGAGACCAGATATTGCTAACGCTTGTAACGAAATTAGCGCAATTTACCTCCAATCCAGGAAAGATATATTGGACTGAGGCCAAAAGAATATTGCAATATTTGAGTAAAACATTTGACTTAGGATTAAAATACGAAAAGGAACAAGCAACATTAGAAGCATGGACTGATGCTCATTGAGCTGGGGATCCTGACGATAGACGCTCATTCAGTGCTACAGCTATTGCTATCGGAAGTAATTTAGTAGATTTTAAGACGTCGAAACAAAAATGTACATCTACATCTACGATGGAGGCAGAGTACGTTGCCATGTACAGCAGCACAGGAAACTAGCTAGGCGAAATCGTTCATTGCAGAGTTGGACCTGGAAAACTGGATAAAAACACCTTATACGATTTGGTGTGACAATTGAGCAGCAATAGATTTTGCGAATAATCGGATAGAGAGATCAAGAACTAAACACATCGATGTTGCCTATCATTATGTGAGGCAAATGATTGATGATGGTATCGTTTACCTAAAATATGTTGCATCTTTCAATAATAAGGCGGACATATTAAAGAAGGCTTTAAGCAGAAACGCATGTTTTACATGTGGATGCCATAAGAGGATTGGGATTGACGTCCGCGACTGAATTGTAAAGTGGGGAATTGAAGATAAGTTACAATTCCCGCGCGTTAACCGACTTTTGTTCGTTGTGGCCATACTGTACTATAATATGGATTGGCGTCGTCAATCGTCTCGATGTTAATATGTGCAAGCACAATGAGTTTCGTTGTCTACTTTTACCTACATCATATTATGTTTAATTAATGTAATCCTTTTATTCTAAATAAATACCAATAGCTAGTGTTAGAAATAAGCGTGATCTTTCTCTCTTGCGCCAACAGAATTTAATCAATAATAAGGCAATAAGGCAAAGCCTTTAATTCTGCCAACGAATTCTGATATGTTTAGTCTTCAAGTCAAACAGTCTTGTTTCTGTTTTGCAGAGTGATTACAATAAGCATGCCAGTAAACAATAGAGAATGATAGCAATGGATACCATTATAGACAGAAATAGGTGGAATATGGGCTTCGTTTTGGAGTTCGTCCAAAAGCATTTACGTCTAATCATCACAGAGTAAATATATGACAAATCTACGTATGTGAAGATTCTCTCTCAAAGTAATATTTACAATTATATTTGTCAATGAATTATACAACGTGTGTCACATCATACATTGAACTAACGATTGCACTGCTGGTGACTGTATTATAAACTGATGTTGAAAGCACTGTTAGAAAAAATACGAAATTGTCCATTATACACATTTTCTGTTATAACGTGAAGATGTTTACAAGAAATGATATAATTTCCAAGATAAGATGATTACTGCGATTGGGAACGCGCTGAAAGTAGACTATCAAGTGGAATCAGTACTTCGCTTAAAAATTTGTTGCAAATTATGTTATGGCTGCTCCTTTTTTCTTTTTAAGTTTTAAGAGATTTAGCCTAACAAAATTTTGCTGATACCGGGAAAGAGGGAAGCTGGGTAGATTAATAAAGTATTGAAATCCTTTTATAATACAACGTTTATTGAACCGCCGAAACGTTCTTTGTGTAGAAGGCTGAGACCAAACGTCTACCGTCTATCCTTATAAACAAACAGAAACCGAACGATGCTGTTAATTCAAATTAACGAATTGGCGGACTGTGAACGATTATATGGAAGAAAATACTCTTTCCGTTGTTGCCTTAATTCTTCCGCACTGAATTTCGGTAAGCCGAAACAGTGCTCGCGGTACGCCGCTTGCAAGTGCACGCACAGCTATTGTGGCTGTACGCGAGAGCTCGGGTCGTAAATCCCAACGCCTACCGGCATGCACAAGCTCAGTACGTTTGCAAGCTACACTTATTTTTTGTGCACGTTCACCAGGGAGACCTGAAACGCGTATTATTCGCGGAACTCTGCAGTAACGGATGAAGCTTCAATACCCACTGCAGGCCCTTTACAAATGCGCTGATCCCTCAACCGGCGGTCGACCAACGATTGGTTACTGACCCGGTGCGTAATCCTTATAATCCGGAGCTAACAAGATACGACCTTCTGTTCGTATCTCGCTCCCTGCAAGTGAAAATCAGTGCGGGGGCAAATTAACTTCGAATCGAAAAAGAATCTTTCGTTCGAGTTGAGAAATATAAGAATTATCGTGAGGAACTGCAAGTCAGTCTAAGCCTCGTTCTTTCTTGCGACGATTTCAGATTAGAATTTAATCGTATGAGAGCTGGGGAATCGGTATCGTAATTCTCCGATCTATCCAGCTTGACGACTATGTGCAGACAGATAGCAGAACTCCGCTTTCCCTTCGAGGAAAACTAATCCTCCGCTATGCGGCGTAATCGACGAAGTAGTCTGTCCTTTTCTATTGCGTATTGTACGTAGAGCGAGAACACCTGTTCCGAGAATTCGAATGCGAATTCTCGTTACGGTAATTCCGGCCCGCAAACTGTATTGTTATCTTTTTCTCTTATGGCTGGTGTTGACTCATCGGTATATCGATATAAGAAACGTCGCGCCGTTTCTTATACTAGATCAATTTGAAATCTAACGCTCTATTAGAAATTTAATATTACAAATACGAGTAATCTTCGTAAACCTTGTTTCTTAATTTTAAAACACCGTTCTTTAAACACATTTCTTTAAACGCATTCAATAAATGTTATCAGACAAAAGAAGAAGAATTATTAAGCGTCGTAACTGAATATCTTTGAATGTATGTATATGAAAATTAAAATCAATTGTTATAGCTACATCCATTCATTCACAACAATTTAAAGTCACTGGGACCGTCATTGAACTTTGCAGAGAAGGCGCTATCTAAAATCTTGGAAAATGCGGAATGGGTTACAAAATATAAACTCAATATCGCTAAATACTTTCAAATAGTCATGTGAAATATCGTTTCTGAGGAACTATCAACAATCCAAGGCAATTGTATATTCCATAAAGATTCAACATTATTAAACTATCAAGCAACACATTTGTCCTTGACATTATCATTAATTATTATCATTTTACAATTTACTATAAAATATATATTATTTACTATAAAAGAACTGTGATTTCACTTATAATTAATAGTTTGTTTCTGTATGTAGAATGATTCATCAAGTATTGCCATCTATAACATTCATTCTTTATTTATTGATTTGCATGCATTAAAAAAATATTCTAATTATAGAATACGAATTTCATTCTTAAGATAATGTTAATAAAATTATTACATAATTAATATTGCATGTACTTTCACTGCATCATCATATATATTTATTTCAAGTAGCACTCCCTATCTTTTAATTCTAATTCTTATATTATAGTGACGACGCGTGCTATTTTTAATATTGAAATCATATACTTAGTGGCTAATTATGGTATACAACTTCTCTGACTTTTGAGATATTAAAGGATTTTGGAAATGATAAAATGATTCAAATGAATTATTTGTCGGAAGTTGAAATAGCATCAGAAAACGTTTACCATCCATGATTCATAATAGTAATTACCAGATATAAAAATATTGGTTGCCAATTAACAATTATGTTCGTATATTTAATAAAGTTCTATAACGTAAAACAGATACAATATTAATATTATTAATTATTGATTTATTTCTCATTCATTTATATTAATATATTTTCTAACAGGCCTGGTAGTATGGTGTGTTAATGATTCTTCAATGGAAATCTCACGACCCAGCAGCTTGACGGAACATATGAAATATTTCTTAATAGAAGATTATTAATTTGAGACTATTTCATTAATTATTAATTGTGATCCTACATTTGTACAATACTTCATTACTAAGAATTTGGTGCTTTATTGAAATTCTCTAAAAGTATTAGTGATCCAAATTGTCTAACAACCGAAAATAACAGAATGTAATTAACGGAATTTTCTATTCTATCGCATGAACTACGATCAGGAAAATTGAAAACTCTTGACGAATGAGATGAACCCAGGGAACACTACCAAGTTTATAAGAATCACGTAATAAATATTGAAAAAAGAATTTGTGGTGAACAATGTAATTGCTGTTTTCTGATTCACTTGTTCATGTCTTTCTTGTTCTTTAAATAATAAATGAGATTTTATAAATTATCACTGATGAATCCGAACTACGTATCAATAATCAATAAGTAAAATATGTAATTTGAAGAACAAAAAATCCAATTCATTTCAGACATATGATATTGACAGATTGCGATAATATTCGTCGTCGTTATTTGAAATCAAATTAGGTTAAGGGATTATTAATGATATATTACATAATTCTTTTCGGAAGTTATGAAAACAGATTAGTTAGATATGTAAGCAAAAATTCGTATACAAAACGAATTCTTGGTGTCTTCTCAATTTTAAACTAAAATATATTACATTTTCCATTTAAAATTCATTGGTTTCTCGTTGGTGTTCACCCGTTTGAATATATAAATAGAACGCGGCGACCGATAAATGTATCGCTGAAAGTAAGTTAGTAAATATCGCATGCTCGACGGTTCGAGGTATTAACAAGGTGACGCGTTTTCGACAGTAATACTGTCTTATTAAGTAGCAATTATAAAGTAGGAAGCGGCGGTGGATGTCGAATACTGAACGCGCTCAGTGAATCTAAAATGACGACAGCTTTCGTAACGTTTCTCCTCGTTCTGATGATCTGTCAGGCGAGTTCCCTGATCAGAAATACCGACAAAGTTCAAGTGGATTTGAAATACCGGCTGCCGGCTGGCGTAGTGACACCGACCTCATACAAATTGCACATCACGCCTAATTTCGAAAAATTCACATTTGAAGGTGAAGTGGATATCAAATTAACAGCGCTGACCAATAATGACAACTTGACTCTGAACTCAAAGGAATTGAAAATCAAGAGCGTTGAGCTCATGGATTTGAATACAACGAAGACTTTTAAGAATTCTTACTTAACGGACGAAATGCACGAGATCATGATTATCAACTTACATTCCTCGCTTGAAAAAGATCATCACTATTCACTTAAAATTAACTACAGTGGAATTTTGAACGAGAGAATGAAAGGATTTTATTTGAGCAGGATCATAGAAGACGACGAAGTAACGTAAGACTGCTTATATGATTTAACTTTAACTAAAAATAAATTCAATGGTAAGATTAGGGAATGAGGATATAAAATGAGTTCCCCTAAATGTTCGGTATTCCTAAAAATGTCAATGACTCGGTTATTGTTATGTGACTCAACAAAATCAATTGGGGTATGAAATGTTCGACAATTAAAGCGGCCTGGAACATTATATTGCAAAATTTATTCATTTATTTTCGTTTGTTAGTTTGTTATAACGAGAATCTCGAAATGATCAAGAACCCGTGTTAATCCCGAGAAAAATTCTCGTCCCGACATTTTCGAATTCTCGCACTCCTTTTATATTTAGTAACAATGTCCTATAATCCTGTAAAAATTGTGCTATGTATTTTGCTGTTGATAATTTATGCAATTTTGTACATTATATATATTTTTCTGTTTTTCACTCGATCAATTTGGCTATAAATGCATAAAATCCGCAGTATATTTATTATGAATTCCATTTGCTGATTTATTTAATCATATACATCTTAATCTACCTTCTACTTATTCATATTTATTAAACTCTAATTTCTGTTCATGGCACAATTTCATACTGTGAGAACAGAAATTGGAACATTTACCTTATTTCTTGAATTTATGTTGAACTATCAATTATCCTGAAACTATCAATTCAAGGTTCTTGATGAATACTTAATTTAAAATAAATTTCCATTTTATTTTAGTGGACAGAAATGATTTAATTAATGTGCTGCTTCCACAGTGACCATTAATATTCGAACACATGTCAAAACGGAATAATTTTTTTAATATTGGACCAGACAACTTAAGATTTGTTTGACCATACAATCTCTGCAAAAAATTATACGTGTTTTGAGTATAGTATATTATCTTTTGCTGTGAGCGAATTTTAAGTGGAATATAATAAAGTAATTATTATAAAGTCGTACAACTACTATTTTTTTCTGTGTTCTAAGAATTGGTACTACAATTTTATTTAACTTTCCACTATATCAGAGCTTTCGCATGCGTCAACCGTGTGTATTTATAACAATATCTGTTTTATTATCTTTTAAGTGCTCGTTCTTATTATTGATAAAATATGTTTCTAATATTTTTATCTTTATTTTTATCTTATTTGCCCAGTCCGTACATATTTCTATATGTCTTCGGATACACATATTTCTATAATACAACCTTAATTTACTTAGCACATATCTGGTTAGTTGTCTATTTATTACAACTAACTTTGTACATTCTTAATATCTAGCCTTACTTGCCGTAATTACATAGACTGGAAATATCATCTTTTCATTTTTAATTTAACATTTACGTGCTTGTCCGTCGAACTTCGTTACGTACTCCAACAGCTACAATGCGCGCGCATGCATATATGTTCCAGCATCACGTCCGAACAGCGGAATCGATTATGATGATTTTTTGTATTTGTATTTCCATTACATAGACTTAAATGTTAGGCCATGTTAAATTTAATTTGCATGCAATAGAGAGGGAAGGAGGTCTTAAGGAGGGTGTGAATTAAAAATCTGCCATAACTCTGTTAATATTTTTCGTATCAAAAGAGGTTTGAAATAAAAGTTGACGAACAACAATTATGGTATGCTCTCTTCAAAATGCATAACAGGTATCAAGTACTTCAAGTTTTCGGATTTAGATTAAACGTAGCCAGCGTTCAAACTTTCTTTACATTTCGGTTTAAATTGTAGGTAATACAAACTTTGTTTTCCTAATGGTTTAAGCCGGATGTAATATAATAGGTCACCCTTGATTGACACGGTACGTAATGTGTCAATCTGTCACTTCTCCTGTCTAATACTAGGTTGGGAAAATAAACATTCGTGCAACCCGGAATAATCAGCTAGTATAATATAATTAGTTATTATTGCGAAGAAGATTTCAAAATCCTGACACTTTTGTTTCTTTAATTTATTTTTAATTTATTGTAACTTCATTTTAATAATACATATTAATTTTTAATTCTTTCTATTTCAAAGCGAGCTTTTAAATTTCTTTCAACTTTGACATAAATAACTATATATTTGCAGAATTCCAAATATGTGTCACTATTTCAACTTCTAGCTAGAGAAACCGTAACCGATATGGATCAAATTATGTCCGATGTATATTAATTACTTGAATGTACAAAAAGGATGTTTCAAAATTTTATTAGAGACCCGAATAAAAAAGTAAAAAAGAACGTATTTCATTTTTTTCTTGGAGACTCAGACGAATAACAACTTTTCGTTACAATTTAAATTAAGTGTCCTAATTACTACTCACTGCCTTGTTTCTATCATTTTAAGATGACATACAGTAACAGAAAAAGAGTGACTAGAAATTGGGACGTAAACAAAAATTGGAATGTTTACTGT